GAACTCATGTGGAAATGACTTTAGCTCCTTAGTGCCATGCTTTATCCTGCTGCACTACCAGGAGGGCCTCAACGTATGTAGTTTTTATACCAGGGTGTGAGTCCTATGCTTTTTGACCAACACATTTCAGAAAATCACAAAAATTGTTCTAGCATGAAAAATAACTTAATTTCTGGTTCCATTTTTGACCTAATGGAGTTGATGTACACAGTATGAGTCTTATTTAGGAGGAACAGGAAGGAATGATGTTATTAAGTAATGAGATCCACCATGGAAGTGGAATAATAGCAGAGGGTCACACTGTAACATTTAGGAGTTTAGTTTAACTCTAATGAAATTGGAAAATGCAGTGGCTTAAACACAACAATAGTTTCGTGTTGTTTTTATTCCATGGCTGGCTTGATGGATCCACCATGTCCTCTGAGAGCCAGGCTCTTTAATCTTTCTCTCAACTAGCCATCCATTCCATGTATGCTTATGGTGTGGTAGTCACATGACAGTTGCTCACATTGGATCTGAATTCCAGAAGGGAAGGAAATTAAGAGTGAAGGTCAAAAGGCATAGGTCAGTGAACTAGCATTGCGCTTCTGCAAAGGGTTGATGGCAAATGTGTGGTTTTGAACTGTAAAAGAGATACAAATGAGATACATCCATCACTTTATAGAGTTTTACTAGTGAAATTGATATCATTTTATTAATGACTTTAGCTCCTTAGTGCCATGCTTTATCCTGCTGCACTGTAATTGGCATTACTGTGAAACATCTTGTGATTCTTGTAAGGCTGGACTTAAAAAGCTAGAGAGACCTGGGTTAGGGTCCCAGATCTACTTTTGGGACCTGTAGGCAAAATACTCAATCTCTCAATGACTCACATTCCCAACATGTAAACTCTGGATAACATCTTTACGGGTAAGATGATCAGATAAATTATGTCCAACCGAGGCACTCCCTGGTGGCACAGCAGGTTAAAGCACAGCACTGAGAAGCTAAAGCCACTTCCACATGAGTTCGATTCCCGCCTGCCCCGGAGGTGATACATGGCGCGGCAGACTTCTCCTGACCCACCCGCTCCTCCCCTCAGCAGTGTACTTCGTGGATCTGCCTGTTCTGCTCCCAGCTGTCTCTGGGAAACCTCTTGCTACCCCTGAGCCTTTGGCCTGTACCCCAGTTCTGTATGTACAAATAAATAAATCTTAAAAAAAAAAAGATAAAAAAGTTATGTCTAACTGAGGGACTTAAGTGCTGTAAGGGGAATTCTATTAATAATTATGCTTAATTCAGTACCACCTTCAGGTAAACTCAGGACTATGGTCAAGCTACTGATAGGTATTGTTGACAGAATCAAATTGTTAGGGGGAAATGATGTCCTGAGGGAACTCTGCAAAGTTCTGTGGACTCTACCCCCTACTTTAGTTATTGAAACTACAACTCCCAGCAATACCTTAGAGAGATATGTGAGGACCCAAGGACAGAGCTAAGCAGGCATTCTGCGACTTTTGGGGAGATATCAGGGAGTGATGTGAGACCTGCTCTTGCTCTCTGGACTGTGTGCTCTCTCTGGACCTCGTCACTGGTGGCTGGTGGTTTGGCTCTTGATGAGCTATCAGTGTACTGGAGTTCCAAGTCAGCAGAGCTGGTAGGATGTCCTAGTTAACTTGTACCTCTCTCTTTCCCTGGGTTGTAACTTTTCCTTTCTCCTTTGAAAATAAACCCATTATTGACCCTTTATGTGTGTACCTGCAGGATAATTTTTTTTTAAAGATTTATTTATTTATGCATACAGAACTGGGGTACAGGCCAGAGGATCAGGGGCGGTGAGAGGCTTCACCAGAGACAGAGTGGGGAGCAGAACAGGCAGATCGACGAAGCACACTGCTGAGGGGAGCAGCGGGCGGGTCAGGAGAGGTCTGCCACGCCATGTGGACTCCTCCGTGGCAGGCGGGAATTGAACTCATGAGGAAGCGGCTTTAGATTCTCAGTGCTGTGCTTTAACCCGCTGCGCCACCAGGGAGGGCCCTGCAGGATAATTTTTAAGCATGCAGGGGAGGACCCACAGATAGGCACCCAGTTCATAATGGGATGCTCTGTAACAAAAATAAGCCCAAACCTGACACACAGAATGTGCTCAGTAAACACTAGTCACTACTGGTTTTAGGTATGGGATTGGAAATTTCCATTACTTCAGTTTTGCCTTTCTCTTTTAACAGTGGTATGCTTGATATTTCTTCCTCACTAATTGTTTTGGTAGAACTATGCAAAAAAAAAAATAAGCTGCTCAAAAAGGGGGTGGGGGGCATTTTAATAGCTTTCCCAGATAATTTTGGTTATGGATAATTCACTAAAACACCACAATACTTTCTCAAAGGTTACTTGTAAAGTGGATTCTGAAATCCTATTAATGAGCTTTTTGTAATATTCACATTAAAATCCACTATTCTGACTTGAATCATGATTTTTGTAACATCCTGTTAGTCATTTGAAAATGTTAATTTACAATTATATTCTAACTGCTTACATATTTTAGAAACCTAGCACCTTAGAACACTCTAGAAAATATATGAACACATACGTACACATTCCATTAGACATCAGAATGATGTCATCACTTGTCATGTTGTCTGTGGAAAACTACATATTTGTGAAAGAACAGGAGTGATAAAGACAAATTCTATTATAAAGATAGTTTTGAATACATTATCCATTGAAAGGTTTTATTTTAATGTTAGATTACATTTTAAGAACAGATGGTATGGTATGATGTGATCTGTTAAGATAAGCAAAGAAAAAAAAGCAACTTTTTTTTAAACTGCATTTGGTAACAGTATACTATGGGTAAAACAAGCTATGACTCACTTTCCTATTTTTTAAACTGTGGATAATAATCTTTACAGGGAAAGTGATGAGATAATTTAAAGGCTCCTAACTTAAAGGCATTTTTCTATTTGTCTTTTTAAAAATTTAAGCTTGTACTATTTATTATTGTAATGCATGTGGGTAGGTACCTTCGGAAAGCTCAAAAGGCTTCATTTTTAGCTCTTCTCCCTAATCCTCTCCATGACTCCAAGATAGAATCTTTGTAGAAACATGCAGGTGATAGAATGCCACTAAACTTTTTATAATACATGGGTTTTTTTGTTTGTTTGTAACCTGGACTGGAAGATGTCTATTTTCTACAGAAGATGACATTCTCAAGTGTAATTCTCAACTGTAATTGGTTATATGTGATGTGAAGAATTGCTACATAACCCTTTTATGCAGGATGATATGGCAGATTAACACTACATTTTGGAAAAGTCACTTGCTAAGTTGTCATTAGCGAGGTGGATAATAGCACTCTACTCAACAATACTACTAAGAATAATTTTTTTTTTGGACTTTCTGCCCCTTACTTTTCTATTTAGTTTTTCAAAGCTCTTACCAGTTCCCTCAGGTTGTACAGTAGGTCTCACTGCTGTGGCCCATCCAAGTCTACACTTCTGGAAAATGCTCTGACTTCAAACAACACTTATTCCTTCTCCTTTGGTCTTCCACAAATATCCTCTGTGGGCATTTTTTTTTTCCAGTGAGTTTTGATCTTAAATCAGTCTAGACTGATATAGTGCCAGTGGATGTCTAGCCAATTAACATTGTCCACAATAAGGCACGAATGATGGATACCAAGTACTTAAGAATTAAAAGCCAACTCATGGTCTGAACAATTTGCAAAGGGGAAGGCTACATGTAGCCTTTGAATGAGCTGCTTTTTTCCTTTCAACAGTATTAAAGGCAGTGCCCACTTAGATTTTAGCATAATTATACTAAGTAGCCAGTCAATAAAGGAAAGAAGTTTAGTAAGTCAAAAAATGAGATGTGAGGTCATTACATGGTGTAGTTGGGCAGTTCTATAGGATGAAAGTGAAGGGGAGTTAAGTGCCAGAAAGTCAGTGCTCATCTGAGCAAGGTATGTTTTGACTTCCAGTGGTATTAATTCTAGGATTTTCAGTAGCCTTCCTTGGGCATTTCATTTATTCCCAGGATGAATTTAAAATTTTTAAAAAGTGAATTATATTGTTGTTCAAAGTTTAAATTGTGATTTCCAAGTGTTTTTTGGGTTAAGCATGAGATAACTTAAACAAACGCCACCTCTGCCCTCCTTTGCCGGATGTCCTCTCTTCTCCCGCAGTTGTTCCAACAAGACTTGGCCGAATGTAGGTGTGGTAACTATTTAGCTCTGTAGGCCACTAACGGCATTATCTCGGAGTCTCCAGATTCTTGCTCTCGGCGTCACCCACTGAGGCGGTGCTTAGCCCGCGGTGAGCCCGGACGTCACCGCACGCTGGATGGACACAAGCAACAGGCACGAAGAGTAGGCCACTACCGCAAGCGTCTCGGGCAACAGCAGTGGGTGGTACACGAATTCTCTCCTTTCTTTAACCCTTCTTCACACGGAGTCCCACCCTCACCGGAAGCAGAGCGGGGTCTACATTACGCCACTTCCGGCCGAGACGACCCGTCGCAGACGGGAGCGAGCACGCTGGTGCGCGGCAACTTTGTTCCCGCCTCCTTTGCTTCGGACGCCACTCACCTTCGTCCTCCGCGGAGCGTGACGTGCGTGCGCGCCCCCGGCCTTGCGTCAGGGCTGACGGGGGAAAAGGCCGAAAGAGCGAGGCGAAAAGGAGGGGTTGTGGAGGTTAGGGCCCAACCAGCGAGTCCCGTCTCCCTCCCTCCTCTAGACAAGGAGCGGAGAGGGAAGGGGAGGAGCAAGCCAGGGCCGGCCGCGCACACCAGGAGCCTCCTCGTGGAGGGGGAGAGCGGAGGAAAGGGGCAGCTCCGCTACCTCTTCTCGCGGCCGCGGCGAAGGAGGAAGAAAGTCAGGGCCCATACCCACCGCCTCAGATTCAAACGCCCACCCCCCCTTCCCATCTCCCCGGAAACAGTCCCCCGTCCTGCCCCGCACACTCGCTGCCCCAACCGTGAGCCGCAGCCCGGTCGCCCCCGCCTCGCCCCGCCCCGCCGCCCGTCCCTCGGGCCGCAGAGTGCGCGAGGCCCTAGGCCGGGAGTTGTTGTCAGGCCCAGGCCACTTCTGAGGCGCCCGCCGTGTGTCGCCGCCACCACTGGAGGACGACGTCGACGCGGAGGAGGAGGCGGCGGAGGCGTGTTGTTGTCTCACCCACTCCCCTCCCAGAACTCGCACCCAACGTCAGGGCGCAATGGAGTGAAGCGGCGACGAAGGTGGTACTTCCGCGTTGCGCTGCCGGAGCCCAGAGCGCGGCCGAGGCCGCTCCCCCACCCCCGGGGGCACTTGGAGGACTCCGGACGCCCCCGCAGGTCAGCGCCCGGCGCATCTGGTGTTTTTGCTCCTAGGAAGAGGACGACAGACGTACGATCGGAAGCCCTGCCGCCCGATTGCTGCTGACCCCCGACTCGGAGGCCGCCGCCTACCCCACTGTGACCTGGAACCCGGGGACTCGCGTCCCGACTTGGATTATCGTGGCTCGTCTGCCGACCGACCCCGCTGCTCGGTGTCCCTCCGCCGCCGATCCCGTTTCCGGCGGGGGAGATGGCCAGGATCTGACCCCGAGGAGGCCGCACCCGCGCCGCGCTCTGCGGCGGGCTCTAGGCAATGCCGAGCAGCTCGGACACGGCGCTGGGGGGAGGCGGGGGCCTGAGCTGGGCGGAGAAGAAGTTGGAGGAACGTCGCAAGCGGAGGCGATTTCTGTCCCCTCAGCAGCCGCCGCTGCTGTTGCCGCTCCTGCAGCCGCAGCTCCTGCAACCGCCGCCGCCCCCGCCGCCTCTGCTCTTCCTGGCTGCTCCCGGCACGGCCGCCGCCGCAGCCGCCGCCGCCGCGGCCTCCTCCTCTTGCTTCAGCCCGGGCCCCCCTCTGGAGGTCAAGCGGCTGGCGAGAGGCAAGAGGCGCCCAGGAGGGCGGCAGAAGCGGCGCCGCGGGCCCCGTGCCGGGCAGGAGGCGGAGAAGCGTCGGGTCTTCTCGCTGCCCCAGCCGCAGCAGGACGGCGGTGGCGGTGCTAGTAGCGGCGGGGGTGTGACCCCGCTGGTGGAATACGAGGATGTGAGCTCCCAGTCCGAGCAGGGGCTGCTGCTGGGGGGGGCCAGCGCGGCAACGGCGGCGACGGCTGCCGGGGGAACTGGGGGCAGCGGCGGGAGCCCGGCCTCCTCCTCTGGCACCCAGCGGCGAGGGGAGGGGTCGGAGCGCCGGCCCCGCCGGGACCGCCGCAGCAGCAGCGGCCGCAGCAAGGAGCGCCACCGCGAGCACCGGCGGCGGGACGGGCAGCGCGGCGGCAGCGAGGCCTCCAAGTCGCGCAGCCGCCACAGCCACAGCGGCGAGGAGCGGGCCGAGGCCGCCAAGAGCGGCAGCAGCAGCAGCAGCGGAGGCCGCCGGAAAAGCGCCTCGGCCACGTCCAGCAGCAGTAGCAGCCGCAAGGACCGAGACCCGAAGGCCCACCGGAGCCGGACTAAGTCGGCCAAGGAGACGCCTTCGGCCTACAAGGAGCCGCCCAAGGCCTATCGGGAGGACAAGACCGAGCCCAAGGCCTACAGGCGGCGGCAGCGGTCCCCGAGCCCGCTGGGAGCCCGGGACGACAGCCCGGTGTCCCACAGGGCCTCGCAGAGCCTGAGGAGCCGCAAGTCCCCCAGCCCGGCAGGAGGTGGCAGCAGTCCCTATTCTCGGCGGCTGGCGCGCTCCCCGAGCCCCTACAGCCGCCGCCGTTCGCCCAGCTACAGCCGCCACAGCTCCTACGAGCGGGGTGGCGACGTGTCCCCCAGCCCTTACAGCAGCAGCAGCTGGCGCCGCTCCCGGAGCCCCTACAGCCCGGTGATCAGGTGAGTCCGCGGACCTGTCCTTCCGAGTGGGCTGGCCCGAGACCCCCCAGCCAGGGGCAGTGGTCTTTGGACTTTGCAGAACCAACCAAGCCCGCCGCCCAGACTGGGAAACCCAACTTTGGAGGTGCTTCTAGCAGGGAGGGGCGTTTTCGCGCTCCAGTTTCCCCTCCGGCATGTTTTAGGGGTGGGAGGGACAAAGCAACAGGTCCAGCAGAGCTTTTCTCGCTGTGACAGGGAAGATTGCAAACAAAGTTCAAAGTTAAATTTCTTACATTACTATAGTAACAGGTTTCTCGCAGCTGTTCTTGACTTCCAACTTTGCTTACTTTGGTTAATGTAGAGGTGGTTTGTCATCATTTGGAAAGCTCCTGAAGAGATTTCATTGTTGGAGATTTAGGAATGGATTGTAGCCTGGGGATTAAATATTGTTCAGGAGAATGAGAATCACGTGCTGATGTCAGAGTTCGGTATGGATTGCAAGTATTTCATATGATTAGCACAGCGATGAGAAAAGCAGCCTTTCTCTAAGTTTGCTTTTAAGTAGGTGAGAAGGGCTTATGTGGAAGCTTCCAGTTTTAAGTTTTGAAGATAACATGGCCATTTTATGATAGTCTTTGTGCAATAGTATTTTTATGCCATCTTTCACTCTCAATTTTAAAAAGGAGGAAAAAAATCACAAGAATGTGGTTTGCGATGACAGTGAGTTGCTAGTAACAGAAATAGTATTTGGTTGGTGTAATCCACTGTAATTTAGTGCAGTCCTAGAATGTTACAAATTTGTTCTCTTTTTAACTAAACACTAAGCTAGCAGGATCTTTGATTAGAAATCTTTAAAAGGTATTTGATATAATGAAATTGTAGTAAATCTTTTATGTAGCTTTTGTGCTCCAAAAAGTGTGCATTGGTGTATCTTTATCCACCAAGCAAAATGAATTAAAAAGGATTTCAGTGTTTTGTGACTTGTTAAACAAATCTTGGAACTCTTGGAAATAAGTCTAAACTGTGTAGTTTGGGGTATTATGAAATGATGTTTGCGTTGTTTTTTTCCTGTTGGTATTAGTTTTTAATAATGTCAAGTGAATGCTGAGTAGTTTTAAAGTATGAGTTAGGCTGAGTCTCAATATACTAAATGTATCTGAAAAATTAGAATACTACTTTGAGGTGTCAGCCTTGTAAAGATGTGTTGTGAGTGGAGACATGGTTATGAGTTTGTCTTTAAACTCAAACAACTGTCTAAATAAATTTCTGCATTGTTAACATTGTTCAAGTACATTTAATATGCTAGTTGACAAGCAAAGATAACACTGAAAACTCACAAAATAAAACCTTTTTTTTTAGTTTGTAAGTTCTTTTATCTTACTTATGGTCAAAATATTTGGGGTTTACTTAACATTTTGCAATTGAATTTGTTTTCAGAAACTTAAGTTAAGATTCAGGATTTTGGGTGCCAATTTAAGAATATGATACCAGTTTCTAAGAATAGGTTTTGTGCTAATCAGATCTTTTAATTGCTGGATACTTTAGCAAGGAAATCTTTCACTATATAACAGTGTTACGTATTTTGTGTACTATGTAATGGTGGCATGTATGATTACACTTATTCAAATTTAAAATTTATTTATTGAGCGCTTGTCATAAGCCAGATACTGTTCCAGGGGCTGGAATATAACATTAAGGAAAGACAAGTCCTTGCTTTTATGGAACTTATGTTCTAGGTCCTTGCCTTTATGGAACTTACGTTCTAAAAGATGAGTAATGAATCTTTTGATAGTGTTTATGTTGACGGCAAGTATTTCTAAAGAAGTTTTGGATTTGGAAATATCTTTATCAAAACCATTCTTCTGACCGCTGGTCTTTTGGTGTGCACCTGAATATATTTAAAGGTGAGATGATGTTATTTTTGAGATAGTCAGTTCTATTGAGTTAATGGAATGGAATTTATGTCCAGTCCTGGTTTGTCCAGAGTCTGTGAAGGCTCTTGGAGAATCAGTTCCCAAAACTAAAGAGAAATAGTTTTGGTTTTGTTTTTGTTTTTAAGGATTAAACGAAAATTTGTGTTTTGTAAGTATGGAAATACCATAGAAATGTAAGATGGTTGAATTATTATTAAATAGCTTGAATTACGGAATTCTTTGTACTGAAACAAATTCACCTCCACTTCCCCATTACTGCACGTTTTAACCTTTTGGAATGATATAGAGCAAATGTATATGCTTTCTTTTAAGAAAATGTAAAGGCAGGTGTGAATCTAAAGTGTTAAAAACCAGTGTCACTTTAATAAAGAAAAAGAAAAAAAAGTTAAAACAGTGATCATATCTTCTGAATCTTCTATAGGACAAAAAAAAAATCTCAGTTTTCTTAAAGTATGGTTTTCAGATTGGTCACATTGTATCCAGTTGTCAAATAATTTGCTTAAAATGTGTCCTAGAATTTATAGCTAAAGATAATTAAAAAACCTGAGATTTTTAAACATAGCAAATCATTATTACTATTTAGGACTAATTAACTGAACTCCCTGGCTTAACACAAAAAGTTTTATTTACTTTTAGAATTTAGTAACTGTGTTATGTTAATTATAAACACCATGAAGGCACTTAGCCTTACCCACCATTGTATTCATAATGCTGGGTTGTGTCTGGCACAGATTTGTTGAATGGGCAAATGAGGAATGATGGTATTTATCAGGTATATGTCATATGATTGTGAATCTGGTTTACATTAAATGTGTTATCATGGCCTATTAACCTTTACCCAGCCCACTTGGACTATATATATTAATGAATTGTCATTGTAGATTTTTCTTTCCTCCATTGTAGATTATTTTTAAGGAAATGTAAAAAACATTCAAAATAGTATTGAAAGCATGATATGAAGATTTTTTTCTTAGTGTTAGTTCCTAGAATAAATCCTGTCTGTTCCACTGACTTCTGCTTCACAGCTTGCTCTTTGCCTTCCTTTATCAGAATCTTCAGTCCTCTGCTCATGTTTTCTTCTTAACTTTGCTTTTTTCTCTTTATAACTATCTTATCACATTTCTATAGTACTTGACTATTGGAGTGTGGGAAGTCACATAATCTTGCCTATTGACCAGGTAATAAATGTGAGGGTATACAAAAGAGGGGGGACTGTTTAAGAAAGGGAGGGAATGATCCCGACATTGGGATTTTACTGTGTGCCAGAGACTGGTAAATAATTGTTTATGCATTTGCCTTTAAAACCCTTTTGATTGTTCTAGATATTCCCATTGATTGATTGGGGAACAGAAACTATGAAGAGTATAGTGATTTGTCCCAGAATCATCTTGGATTCAAACCCTGACTGATTCTGAACTTTTGATGCTTTTGATACTCTATTTTGAGTCTCAGTTGGCATTCAAGGGAGCAGACTACCTCACCTAGTGATCTGTTTTGCTAAAATTCAACACCCATTTGGTATTTATGTATTAACTTTTCTTTCTTGGCTATCTTTGCAGCATTTTGTTGGTTAAAAAAAAAAAAAACTCATGTAAAGATTTTCCCCCAGCTTTTTAATCTTTTATGAATATGAAGCTAAAAGTATTTCTTGGAGACCTTAAAACTTTTTATATTTTGTATTGGTGGTGGTTTTACAGTGAAATATCTTGATGTGAAGTCAGTCAAGTCAGATCAGTTATAATATATAATAAATTGTTACATATGATTGGTTCTTTTTTGAACCTTAGAAGTTCTATTCTATTAAGGAGCAACAGAAACCTTTATTATGGAGTAACAACAAGACCATGAGAATCTAAAGAAGTGTGGATCCTAGATTTAAATTGATGGAATTTTAGTATTCTTTTCCCTGAGTTATGAAGGTACCTCTGTCATGGAGTTTTTTGTTTTCTCCTAAGATAGAGAGAGACATTTCAATATTGTCATAAAATTATTCACAATATCCTAGTACTTATTATTAATAAGTAATTTTTATCTTAAATGAATGGAATTTGCTAAGTACCTTTAAAAAGTGTCAAAAATTAAGGGTGGTAGAATAAATGCCCCAACATTCAGAAGGAATGGACATTTAGGTGAGCTGTCTTTGGTCTCCAAAGCCTATAATCACACTTTTCATTCTCTAGATGGCTTTGTGTTTTTCTCCTCTCTGACCTTTACTTGATATTTACATCTACTAGTTCTTACTTTTTTAAAAAAATCTAACATTAATATTTATCCTATTTCTAGCACCTTTGTTAAGGCCCTTGTTTAAAATTTTATCTTCTGTTACTCTTTTCTTCCTGATTCTATCAGGAAAGTTTCCTGAAAAACTTAGATCATGACACTTCCATTATATAGAATTAAGTCTCGATTTTCTAATATGTGACCAGGAATGCTTTTGTGATCTGGGCCTGTTCTATCAGAATTCTGGGTTTAAAGCACTTTATTTCTCAGTATTTTTATTTTTCTGTGCTTTTAGCTTGAAATGCTCTTCTTCTCTCTACTGCTGGCAGCTTTGTGTTTAAAACTCACTCAGATCAAATTCCATTATATGAGACTTTTCTCCATTCAGAATCAGTTCCCTTTCCAATACTCCTGTAGCACTTTTTGCTTTATCTTTACTGTAGAGCTTTAAAAAAATTCCCTTTACTATTCTGGTTATTTGACTGGCTACATTGGTGCTTTCTTTACCACATTGTAAGCTTCCTCCAATAAAACACTAACTTTAGCATATAAAACTTTTTTGGCTGTGTTTCTAAATCTACTTGCTTATGATGTAGGATGGGAGGAAGCTGTATCATTTGGTTTATAAGAATGAAATTTTAGGAACTCTAGTTTCTACTTTATTAGAATGAATGAAGGTTGCTGAGAGTCACTTTTAATGTGACTAGAATAAATTTAGTTTTAGTGTTTAAATTGCATTCTTTTGTACTGATCCAGATAAATTCTTTTTTCTTAGTGGACTGTATATGAAGCTTATACTTCCTAACTGAAAAATTGTTACTATTTTTGAAAAACCTGTTGGAAAATTACTGCTTCATGTTCATATTT